TACATTTCTCTAATATAATACTTGAATATTTTATTCATCATCCTTTGATATATTTCTTCTATCTTTTTTAACCCAAAGGATATGACCTGGTAGTAATATGTGCCTCGATTCATGGTGAAGGAGGTATGTTTGTGATCCTCGAATGCCATTTTGATTTAGTTGTACGCTTAGAATACATCTATAAAAGTAAGGAGCTCATGACTCAAGGTAGCATCAACCAATTATCAATCCAAAAAAAGGGGTAGATATCCTTTGGGCATATTTTGTTGAGGTTAGTATAGTCAACACACATCCTTCAATTTTCATTAGATTTTTTAATGAGTACAACGTTAGTGAGCCATTGAGGGTACTACACCTTGATAATGAACTCTACTCCTAACAACTTATCTACCTTCTCACTAATTGCTCGTTGGTACTCGGGAGCAAATTTACGAGGCCTTTGCTTTATGGTCGTGCATCAAGGGAAATGTTCAAGTGATGTTGAGCTATGTTAAAGTCGATTCCCAATATATCCCTTGGTGACCATGTGAATACCTTAGTATTTTTCCGGAAGAAGTTGATGAGTTGCACCCGCCTCTCCTCGAGAAGGATCATCTTGACCTTGATAGTTCGGTCGAGTCGAGCTTTTTCTAAGGTTACTTCAATTATCAACTCCACTGGCTCGAGATGTGGGATAGACTTAGCCAAGTCTTGAGGGTCCACAAGTGGTGTCTCATGTTAAGCTTTCTTAGGTAGGGAGACTATTGTTAGGTAGCACTAACATGATTCCCTTGCTTCTCAGCTCTCATATGCTAGTCCTCATTGGAAACTTTATCATCATATGGTAAGTCAACACTATCGCCCTCAATCTATTCAATGTGAGTTGACCTATGATCGTATTGTATGTCGAGGGGATATCTACCACTATAAACTTACTCAATATTTTTTTGAAGTAGAACTCGTCTCTGAATGTAACATGCAAGTTCATAGTCATAAGAGAGGAGATGGAATCACCAATGAATCTCATCAATGAATAAGTTAAGGTCATTAGATAATAGCTCTAAGTTTTTGGAAAACATCAAAGTAAATGATGTCGGTAGAGATATCTATATCGATTATGACCCTTTTCACCCGATTCACACCAGTGTGCATAGGATTATCCGAGATGCCTCCACGGTAGAAACATCAAGCTTTTGAAATAGTCATCCATGATGTCACTTATATAAAGACTGATGTTAAGAGAGGTTTTCTGAGCTAGTCTCTTCGATGTCTAAGTTAGTAACCAGTGATAAAAAAGTGATGATTGACTATGTTAAAAGTGAGCTTTTATGCATGATAGTGAAGGAACAATATTTTTTATGAAATATTTTTCGAGGAAGCGGTCTTTAAATGCATCTAACAATTTCAATTTGACTTTTTATCTATATAGACGACAAGAGCAAAACAACTCACTTTTTATCCATATAGGCTACAAGAGCAAAACAACTTATAATTATCTTAGACAATGTTCATACGAGTAGACTAATTGAGAGTAGCTTTTATCTTTTTTCGACCTACACGTTATGTGGAGGACATATGTTGGATGATAACTGATCGATAATATCCTTTTTATCAAATAGTATATGATCTTGATTAATATGATATGATTGACTTTTATAATTAGTCCAAATAATATTTTGAGAGAATATCGATTAGACTTTTTATTTTCAGTTTTTAGTGAATGTTGACTTAGTTCGTGAGGGACGGGATACTTTTGATTGGATATAAATATTTGTATTAAATATAATATTTAATAACATCATACTTGGTGTTTTAATAACATGAAGCCAAAGATTACCGAACAATAGAGAAATAACGATCAATTCATTTGACTTATGGGACAAATTGAAAGGTCTCCATAATTTTATATAATTTTATAATATTGACATTCCAAAAAGGTATAAATATATATCTTATAAATTTGGAACTAGAAAAATCATATAATAAATAATAATAACAATTAATTGCCTCAAAATAAAATAAAGAGTTGGATATATTAATAAACTTAAGTTATATATATATATATCGTAGACGCCGATGAACTGGAACGCGGTGCGGGCGGTGGGCGACGGCGTGCTGATGCGGCCGGCGGAGTTATACAAGATGCCGTACATGGCGCAGGGTGGAGGTAGTACCGCCCGCAGGTGCCACGGGGCCGCGAGCTCATCCTCTCCGACCACTACGACGGCAGAGTAGAGCGTCCGCACCATCGAGAGCAAAGTGCGTCGTCCACATCCGCAACGAGAATGACGGCCTCGATCTCGCTGGCGTCCGGGACTTCTTCTGCCGGTTCGAGTGCATCACCGCCGCCGCCGGCTTCACCACGACGTCGTCCGCAGGTGACGACCGATCGCCCTCCATTTTCCTATCTTAAGCTCTTTTGGTTTCATCCACATGGAATCGATCGTGTAAATCCGTCACCCTGTCTTGGATGAAGGTACCACAAATGCAAGATGTCGAACAACCCCGATGTCGCCATGGTCAAGTGCAATGGATTCAGGGACTGGTAAATGTCACTTGCCCTCTTCTCTTCTGCCTCTTTTATTTCCCTGTCATCTGTTCAATACAAAACAATTAATTTTCATGATGACGATGCAAACATAGAACAAAATAGAAGAAGAGGGAATTGTGGTCAGTAGAAGATGAACAGTAAAAGAATTGGTAGTTTTGGATCTTCAGAGGAAAAAAAAGTGATTAATTCCTCTTCATTTATGTCAATCTTTGTTTCTTTTTAGTCATTTGATCCCCAGCCTTATGCATTATAATTTATTGCTCATTTTTCATATAGGATGATATTTGTTATATACATCTTCACATATGTAGACTATACAAATGACATATTTTGCTATGTACATGCATCCATATCACAGGAACACAACAGGGCTATAACAATCATATTAGTTTACGAGGGCATCAAACATGGCTAAACCACCTAAGCCATGTTAACATGCACAAATGGGCTAAGCCAAAATCAACCTTAATCAAAAGCAAAGCAAAGCAAAGCAAACAAAGTAATTCAATAAAACAAATGGTAGATTCTGCATACCAGTTTGGATGATGATTTCTGTAAGATCATGGTACACTAGTTTAATCGGATCCGATATGATTGGATCTGATCACTTGACTGAAAAATAAGAGTCCAAATATAAATGTAAGTAATTGATCAATAAAAAGAATGTATTCAGTGCATTAGAACCCACAAATTTGAGATTTGTGGAGGGTCAATATCACAACAAGATGTTTGTATGACTTAAACCCTAGTCTCCAAGTTATAAAGGAGAAACCTTATTGTTTACATAGGCAAAAATCTCCATCCCAAAATTGCCCCTTCCTTGATCATCTAGCCTCATTGAAAAATCTAGCTCCAGTAATTTCATACAAGTAATTTCCTTTTCTAACTTGAAAATATTGCTAAAGCACATACCAAACAACATTAAATATGCTCTGGTAGATTATTCATATGGGATGAAGAAAATCAATATTGTCGATTTTGTGCGGGTCGAAGATGATATTATATATATATATTAGGTACTGATGGAGTAGGGTTTTGGGGTGATAGAGCATGAATAGTTTGAGATTAAACCTGAACTTTTGATCTCTCTCTAGTTTGAATATCTTTTGCACATACAAACATTATCATGTTTACTTTCTGTAATAGGCTTTAATTAGTTATTCAATTTCTTAGGTGATTTTTATGAAAACTGGCACCTTAGATTAGTCATAAAGCAATCTGTGCTTGATGACAGCAACCTTCAAAAGATGGATGGCAAGCAAAGGATGAAAGTTTCCCTTCTCACAGTATCTCTGTTCTTTTTTCTCTTGTGGTGCCATCTCTATTTGCTTAATGTTAATGTTACTAAGAAATCACATGCCTCATCAACTATAAATCACATGTCAAGCAGAATCCTCTGTCTTCACTGTTGAGCATAGTCTTGACTGATAATAAATTTAACTTTTACTTTCCAACTTAATCTGGTTCTTCTAAACCATTAAGTCTACAATGATGTGTTAAAAGTTACTGTATAGAAGAGATCTCATATCTCTTGATATGATCATCATATATTTTTCTTGATTTCTATCAAATAAGATGAATATCCCTTCATATCTTAGTTTTTGAGATTCATTAGATTCTCTTTCACCTTATAAATTAAGTTATGATGTACCCCAGACTTAATATTAACAAAGTTTTTCCTCGTTCTTTTCTCTTCTAATACTTTTAAGTCAATAACCTGCAAGTGCTGGTTTCATCCATCTTTTATTGGAAGGCTTCTTTTGCTCAGATTGGTCCTCTTGAGTTGATGCCCAGAGATCTCCACAATGCTTTTCCTGTATCAACTTCTATCCTCATGCAAAAAAAAAGTGATGTCATGATCCAGGTAAAGACAACTTTTGCTGTTGCTGAACATTCTTTGATGGATTAAACTGCATGGCTATAACATGCTGGAACATGAGCTGGATCGAAAACTTTCTTTTATGTTTTGCATGTCATGATGGCATGGAATATTCACGAGTCAATTGAAGAAGAGTTGGTCATTATTTGTGAGAAATGTCTGCATCCGGCAGGAACTTTTTGGGTGTGGTATGAGATGCATACCGGAAGCTTTGCTTGCTGCAGTTTTCTTTTGCGGATTCTAATGGGTTTTTCTGATGTCATTACAGTTTCGGAGACACCACGAGATCATCACTCGTGACTGTGTTTGGGATTTACTGTTCCTGGTGCAGGAAGCTTGCTAGTTCCGGCAACCAGAGCGACGGCGGAAGTCACGGCTGCCCCGGGAACACATTGGCGTCTTCCAAGCGTCGTCGTCGCGGCCGACGTGGGAGTGCCACGCATGAGATTCGAGGCGTGAGTCGTAGCCCAAGTCGCGACGCGTGGGAGCAGGATGTGTCAGATTGGATGGATGGATGGATGGACATGCATGCCATGGCGCATCGATGCCGCTGCAGCGTATCCAATGGGGTTGTCCTCCACCTCTGACAACCACCCGTCGCTTGTCGGAATACAGTAGCGCGCGAGCGCGAGCGCGCGCACTGCAGCTGGCCTCCTCCCCACCCACCAACTTCGCTGCTTCATGAAAACCTCTTTCCTCCTCTTTTACCTCGTTCCAACACAAACTAAACTTGCATTTAAATCTCGCCTTCCGAAACCAATGTAGCATCTTTGAGCGAGAAGGTCAAATCCACTGCCCCCCTCACCTTCCGAAACTGTCGCCAGCATCTTTGTTCAGGAGCGCGGGAGATCCAGAAGCTGCCCAAACCGTGGAATGGCCAAGACGAAGCCCGGCAAGAAGGAACTCGATTCCTACACCATCAAGGGCGCCAACAAGGTCGTTAGAGGTACTAATACTCGATTTGTGTCGCCAAAAGTTCGTCTTTTCTTTTTCCTTTCTTCTTTCTTTATTCCGATGGTGTGATCGCGGAGGAAGAGATGGTGATGATGTCTTTTGGATGGGATGGGATGGGACGGGAGGGCGGGTGCAGTGGGCGACTGTGTGCTGATGCGGCCGTCGGACGCGGAGAAGCCACCGTACGTGGCGCGGGTGGAGCGGATCGAGGCGGACCACCGCGGCAGCGCGCGGGTGCGGGTCCGGTGGTACTACCGCCCCGAGGAATCCGCTGGCGGCCGCCGCCAGTTCCACGGGGCTAAGGAGCTCTTCCTCTCGGACCACTACGACGTGCAGAGCGCCCGCACCATCGAGGGTACGTGCGTCGTCCACTCCTTCAAGAGCTACACCAAGCTCGAGGACGTCGGCCCCGAGGACTACTTCTGCCGGTTCGAGTACAAGGCCGCCACCGGCGGCTTCACCCCCGACCGCGTCGCTGTGTACCGCCCCCCTTTCCCCTCTTTTCATTCCTCTTTTTCCTCTTTCTTCCATGGACTTCTACATGATCTTCTTATGCTTTTGGACTGAAGGTATTGCAAGTGCGAGATGCCATACAACCCGGACGATCTCATGGTCCAGTGCGAGGGATGCAAGGACTGGTACATCTCCCTAGAATTCCATTCTTAATGCTCCTCTCCCTCTTTGTCTGTAACTTGCTCAGTACCAAAGTAATAACCTGGTCATCAACGATATCAACTTTGCTCGTTTACCATTATTACCTGCGTCTTTGCTACATTTTCAAGCTTTACCAAAGTTAAACCCTTGTCCTCTTGACTGCGCACAGAGTCTCCTGCCATGTATGACATCGTTCATAAGTATTCGTGCAGCAATTTATTATGTGACTCCTAAAGCTCTTAGAAGTTGCACCAGGCCATCCAAACATGTGAAAATTTTGGATTTTTCCCATATTTGTAGAGTTTGCCCTATTTAGTACATATGTTCAAGTAATTCCAATCTTACTTATTCTACTTCTTGCAAAAAGGCCTTTTCTTTTCTTGGCCTGTGGTTATCTATGATGGCAATACTCTGGGATTCTTATAATAAAACCAATAATTCACACATAAAAAGCCTCACTACGCGATCTATTATTTCTAGGTGATACGCAATCTGCATCTGAGCTTTTTGACTGTTGTTTTATGCCTTTATGGTATAGTCCTTGGGTAGGATGGCTGCAAGCTTTCCCTTTTCTTTTAGTAGTTTGAGGTCCTATTTAAGTAATATTTTATGGCCTACATGCCCTACCTACTTTGCTCATCCAAGCAAACCTTGATATCATACGTGTGCATATATTACTGCTAAATTGCATTTCATGGATTTAAGAGAGCTCTCCTATCTTATTTGATGCGAATTTTAGTTTATTTCTTTCCCATAGTACATGGGATTTATAAGTTCTTTTGTACTGTTATTTTCTTGTTGTATTGTATTACACATCTTGCATAATCTACACCTGCTCAATAATAGACTCCTGATTGATCATGAAGCAAGGGATTTTGTTACTTATCAATTGGGTTAATATATTGGAAAAATATTCATGTACGAGATGAACATTGAGACGTATTAGAGATCAGTCCCATGTTATTAAGGATTGAAAAAGTTGAATAACATCTATTGAGCTTAAAGACTCATTGGTTGATCACAATAGATGTTGGAGACAAATAAAAGTTCAGTGTTTGTGCAGTATTGTTCGCATTGAATGATATGCTGCGACTTCTACGATGTGTTTACTTTTGACTTTTTGTTACTCTTTGTGGCATGAGGAAAGATTTATTGTACAGGCCATGACCCTGCTTTATTTAACTTTTTTTGGGTGTTGTGACATTTTGTTTGTTCAGGACAGATTTGTAACATTGCTCACTTAGATTAGTTTCTTTCGCACTCCATATATTCTTTGAAGATAAAACCAGGTGGCTGTTTTGTCATGTTTGTTTCCCAAAGTATATCATGGGATGCTACAAATTTTGGATAGGAAGCATGACTTGTTTAGTTATGTCTTGCCTTACATTTCTCATTTCATTCTTGTATGAGGATCATGTACTTATTTGTGGTTGAGATTAGTAATATTCATGCTTTAAGAAGTCGCTAATTAATTGATATTTATTTGTATGCTCAAAAATTGGGTGGGCAAAAATATTTGAGTGGTTCGCTCTTGTATATAGCCAGTAAATTTTTTGACCAACAAAAAACGGATGCTCAATGAATTTAAGTGCTTATGATTAACCTTGTAATGTGTAAGTATGGTGTACAAGTCATGCTATGTTTTCCAATCCTGTTCAAAGGTAAGTAGAAGAAAGAGTAGTATGAGTGTATGACATTATTTATATGTTTGAAATTTTGATTCTTTTTCTTCTCTGTGTCAACATACTGTATCTTTTGTAAACTGTAGTCCTCTGACCTGGTGATTGGGCCTAGTTAGGAATCTTATGATACTTATCCATCAACAATTAGAATGCCTCTTTTATTGTAACCCTGTGACTGGTGTATCTCTCTTAAACTCTCTCATTAACATTTTTGTCATTTTATGGTGGATATCATGTGCAAAAATTATCTTGGGATTCTTCACTCAAAGTATTAGCAATGCCTAAAAGTGAGTTTTTAGTCAAGTTGGGAGTGATGAGGTCATATTTTTCTTGAAGAGTAATGAAGTCTCTCTTCAGCAGAGTAATAAGTTCAATATGAAGTTTTAGAAGAGATAAAGCTATAAGATAGTTTTGAATTTTGTCTGATAATATAGAAAACCCAATTTGATTAAATAGATGATGCTTTTTTCAGTAATTAGATGTTTCAGTGCATGTAAATCTATTAGGGAAAATTTTTGGTATCTAATTGCTATACTTTTGGGATCTTCTTGTTATGCTCATGGGTTGTCTTCTGCTTCATCAAACTCTGCTTTTGTATGTGGTGTACAATAGCCTCATTGGCCATTTTAGTTGATGATTTTGTTACGGTTGCTCTTGTTTAATTTCTACTTGAGATCCTCATATTTGGTATGAAATTTTTTATTTCTTGCATGCACACCCAAATTCATAAAACATACTCGTTCAAAATTTTTCTATGTATTATTGCGAGAACTCTTTTGAAGAGATGTTCTATTCATATAGCGATTTTTCTTTCTTACGGTACAATCTCTGTTTGCTTAAATTAGTCAGCATGTATTGTCTTATGTGCATCCTTACAAGTGCAGGTTTCATCCAACTTGTATGGGTATGACGATTGAACAAGCAAAAAAGTTGGAACACTTTATCTGCTCTGATTGTTCAGCTGAAGATGCTGCTGAGAAATCTTTGAAACCTTTTCCTGTATCACCAGATTCTGAACTTAAGGTGAGAAAATGGCTTTAGCTCTCATGATGTTTCCTTAAATGTATTATCTTAAGAAAAAGGAAAATATCCAATTTAAGAATCGTTCTTTTTATCTTTTGTTGAAAAGTACTTAATTGGAGTTGTTGGTTATGTTATTCTTGATAGAGCTTTGTCGAGGTTGTTCTTGTATTTATTTGATGTCCAGTCATACATCGATCAAAATGAATGTGGATTCATCTAATGTTCTTGTATTTAATTTCATTTGATGCATAGCTATAGTCTGATCTAGATAGATACGAATGCATCTGGACTGAAGTTTCCATTTTCACAAATCAGAGATCAAGAAGATTTGAGTACTGCTCATTCTTTTTCCCCAAAAATCATGAACATGAATTTGCTTTCCTTGGCATGTTTCATTTCATAAATCAGAGATCAAGAAGGAACATGTTATTGATTACACATCATAGTATTGATTGTCAGCGTAAGGAACGTGCTAAGGGCTTTCCTTAGCATGTTGCATTTCATAAATCAGAGATCAAGAATTATGTTCATTAGTTCCTTCTTATACAATGTTGCATTCCATTAATCAGAGATCAAGAATTAACATGTTGCTTTCCTTAGTATGTTGCATTTTCCCTTGAAGTGTATGCTTGGTTTGAGGAAAGCTGTTTGAACATAATTTCCTTCATATCATCTCGATACTTTTCTCAAGATTTTGTGCTAATCTATAATCTTTTCAACTATTTGATGTTAAACACCACGAGAAATTGATTTCTTATACATCTCTCTCTGTCTCTCTAGTGCCCCTGAGAACATCATGGGAGAGAAAGATGTTCAAGTAGTGCTTTACTTTTTAGTTGATTCTCTATGTTTGGCCGGTGTATGCTGTGTAATATGTGAATGACATCGATGTGTGATATATTCAGCAAGACCATGTCCATCAAGCGGAGCCATCATCAAGCATGCTTAGCAATTGTACAACCTTTAAAGCTAGCTACACTTGAAATATTCATAGAAGGTCAAAAGAAAGAAAGGGTATTCAACCAAACAAAACTGATAACCTTCATGCTTTCTCTTTTCACTGCCTAGTCTGATATCCTAAAGAATGTTTAAGGCCTTTTAGAATCTGAACTGCCTTTGTCACTATTGCCTCGAATTTGCATCAATAATTCCTATATTTAAATTCCTGATGCTTCATGTTTTGATTGGGCAGGTTGAAGCCAAGAGGCGCAAGAAGTAATTGTCGATTACGGAAGTGGCTCATGGAAGGTTTCACTAATATGAAATTGTAGTCCTGGATCTGCTTGCACAGTGGGAGTCAGTTCTCTAACTTGTTCGTCTAGTTTGGTAACACATTGGTTCTTCTTTGGCTAATTGGATGATTTGTGCTCTCTGCCTGTCGTTTGTGCAATCACTTGTTCAATTGCACTATTCTTTTTGAACCCAAAGAAGGGCTGTGTGTGACTACCATCTTGTTTTGCTTGTATGATCCCCACACACTAGTTGGTTCGACCCCTAGTGTTAATTGAATTGCTTCTGCTTGGTTTCTTCTGAGCTAGAATTAGATCTCTGGTATCATGGACTGGATTCTTTTTCTGCACTCTCTCTAGTTTAGTGTAGTGATTCTTTTGTCTTTTAATTAGCAGAAATCTCCATTTCATCAAATGGATTGCTTTTGCTTGGTTTGGTCTGAGCTAGAATTAGTTCTCTTGGATCATGGACTGTTGGATTCTTTCTCTGTGTTCTCTTTAGTGTAGTGTTTTCTTTTTAGTTAGAAGAAAATTCCATTACATCAAATGGTTTGCTACTCTTTTTCTGCTCTCTTTAGTGTGGCTTTTTTTTCTTTTTTTTAAAGAAGAAAGTTCCATCTTTTCTCTATTTTTTTTTTTTTAATTAGAAAGAACAATACTGGAGAAAACAAGGGCTTCTCAAACATAGCTTTATGCAATAGAATCAGAATCAGATCATACTTAAGAATAGGCATAAGCCCAAAGTACCCAAAGGCATTATTACATCCTGGTTTGTACTAAAACTTCATTGGCCAAATACAAATTATAGACTGCATGTGTAGAAAGCTGAGCTGCATCGCTTGTTTTCATTATGCTTTACACAAGTTAAGACATCCATGGAGAACAGCAGATGGCTTCATTTAACACCATATTTTACTATATTAAACCTATACACATCAAAATTTTTATGGTCTCCTTGATGTCAAGGACTTGGTAACACAATCCACGATACCTTCACAGCCGGCTTCCTCCGAGACCGTGCATTCAGAAGCATCCTCCATAGGTTTCGGATCCGAGTGAGGGGAGCGCAGATTTCCATGGGTTTGGCAGGTTGCCATCGTTTTGCAATGCTCGGCCTCATCGTCACGAATGTTCATGAAAACATCATAAAGATTTTCTGGATAGAAAACAATGTGTTATAGAGCTGTTTACAGCAAGTAGATTGCAACTAAATAGGAAAGTAATACGATGATCAAGAAAATTAAAGATCACTAGTACATGGAAGCAGTCGAGGAAACATACCTATCCTCGGCCTCCTAGATTTAGGAGTTCTAGCAGTTTGGAATTCGTCTGGAAATTTGAATAGTTAAAAATAAAATTATTTCAGGCCAAATTCTAGAAATAAACATTAATGTTTACCTAACTGTAGGTAATAAGTCTCCAAGAAACTTACCAAACAAGTACAAATCTTCATTCATGTAGTAATTGATAGCTGCCTCTGGGGCAGGGAACTTCTTTAACTCTTCTGCATCAAGAGAATAAATAGAAAAAATTGTAAGGAATCGGAAAAATCATATAGAATTAAAGAAATAATTTGGAATTCTAATAAACCAACTAACTACATGATATGTGTATACTATGATCCAATGTGATTGTTTTTTTTGGTCATCAATTCTTATAAACTAGACAGTTATAAGACTCAGAAATGAGAGGCCAACAATCAACTAGTGCTTCTTTCATCGAGAAACTAGGCTTTTCGAGCCAATAAAATGATCCAGTCCAAAGTAATATTTATCCAAAATCTGAACAAAGCATACTCATAAATGTTTCTTTTCAAATTAACCATACACATTATGGACGACGGCTCAGCATTCTATTGTGTTGCAACAGATAAAAAAGAACCAAAAATGAAAAAGGTCTGAAATAATTTCTGAAACATAATAACTATGTGATGCTACTAATTGCAACATAAAGGTTCTAAGATCACCTGTCATTCAACTAATATGGGACAAATGCAGTTATATCAATGAGATACCTATTCCTAACCATGAGCTAAATTCTGAAGCATGTCGTGATCTTTATCACAGTGTCCATCATGTTGACACATTATCGGCACTTAGCATAGTGTATATTGCTGTCGTGCCATTAAATATAAAACTACTATTTTCATAATCTTATTTTAGAAGAATAAATAAGGAAAATATTTAATGCAAAAATGACCTCTCTGTTTGCAGAGTACAGTCACTTCTCAGATCCTGCATTAGCAGAAACCTTATAAATTGTGTGGCCCTTTTAAATTCTGTTTGGTGCATGGCTTTCACAAGCATAAATCAACTCGATCCTGTTTCATACTTCTTACTCCTTGATTTGCAAACATGAAAGCATGCACACCCCTCACAAGATATTAGATGGACTGTCATGTGCATTATAAGCTTAATTCTTGATCATGACTACACCATTTGCAAAGAGTAAAAGCATCGCACTCAATCATTCACAAACATGTTACAAAAAGAGACCTACAGAATTAATATTGAAAATAACGAATGAAAAGAGTCCCTATGATCAAGAACAGAATTTGCCAAAACAAAGAAAGAAATTGTTCAGCATGTATAAATTGTTTGCATGTTTGTATTCTTAGCCAATTCTCCACGCTTTCAACTAGTACAAAAATCATCATCAGACTTATGCACCTTGGCTGACATGGAAGTAGAAAAAAATGCTAAATTCTAATCAAGTATTTCACTATCATGTCCTTAATGTATTCTTCCTTTGGTGCCAAGGAATTGGAGGATTCATCTTTCCAGTGGCAATGTGATCAAGACCAGTTTGCCTGTGTAGTGATGTTTTGCCTTAAAATTCCTCTCCTGCAAGAGGACTCGTCTTCCAAGTAACATTTAACTTTCACCAACCTTTACATATAAGTCACCAAACTTCTCAATTCTATTGCAGATCATAGAACTTAAAGAACAGAGAAAGTCTCCCATTCATCTCCACAGCCTCAGATTTCTAGGTTGTCCAAGCAAGCCACCTTACATTTTCTGAACATCTCCAAATATTTTCACCTGTGACATTAATCCTTAAAGCAATGTATCCTATACGTACAAACAAGGGCCTTTCATAATCAACAAATTGTGATAGAATTAATGGAATGGTGAAAAAATTGTGTAAAATGAGCACTTTGCATCAAATGTGTAATTGATTAATACAAACAAAAACAATAACTTTCTATAATTTCCAATAATTGAAATGATCCTCCAACCATGTACAATAGCAATGAGAAAACTCACTGTTAGAAGGATCATATAGTTAAACTATTTTTAGCTTTGGTTTAACTATACTTTTTTTTCTGTCAGTAACTTTCTGTAAAGAAATGAAATAGGAAGACAAAGCATGCACCTTCATGGAGCTTTATAAACTTGTCATAAGTTGAGTATGCATGTCGCTCAACACATTCTGAAAAATGGTCTGCAGGAAAACAATAATAAAGTTCAAGTATCAGGAATATCTAATTCATTTAATGAGTATTTTTCTTTTTCTTTTTCTTTGTGACGATCTGGAAAACAAAAGAGAAACTGCTAAAAATGTGATTTGGCTAAAAGAAGTTCAAAAACCAACTTCAAAATGTCATGGTGTTAGATTGTCTTTCAAAAATAATGAATAGATTTTAGAAAACAGTAGTCCTGAAAATTGTAGCTTATACTGTTACCAGAATGTGCAGCATCTTACAAAACTGGTCTCTTATGAACATCACAGTTCGAGATTTAAATTATCAAGAAAATCACTAAATGTGACAAAGTATGCAGAAAATAGTATTGATATAAAAAGATAAATATCATAATAGACCATACAGTTACAAAAGAAAACTGTCTTACCATCTTAAGAGAAGTGGTTGTGGAAGTAGAACGCAAGAAATGAAACTTTAGACAATTATAACTCCTTAGTTCCTAGAGTACAAGATTGCTTTATTTTTCTTTTTTGCGAATTTAGGTTTGAGCCAAAAGTTGTCTTCACGGTAAAATGTTCACAACTTATACTATGAGCTGATAGCACTAATATTAAAAAAATGTATTTCCAAATCCAAATATAGCTTACTGTTTTTCAATTGTTTCCTGATAATTAAATTGAATAATTTCACTGAACAGAATAAATTATAAGTGAAACCATCTCCTGGCACAAGGCCAGGTCCTCAAGACAGTCTATAAAACCGAAAAATAATCAGGCAATGCTCTAGCAATATTTTCACAAAATGCTGATCGAACAACCTTATATTTTGGTACCAATCGATCCAATAAAATACCAGACAAACATGCAGGTTAAAGGACAAAATAATGTTGTACTCACATGCCATTCTGGGGCTCATGATGTACATTCCAACTGTCATGAAGTAGTAAAAGAATGCAACAAACTGAGCAAGAAGACGATCTAACCAGAAAGCATTACCCCCTAGTTCCTGCAGAAGAAAAAGCAATAATGCCAAAAAAATTCAGCATGTTAAAGGTAACAATTCAGTCATAAAGAAGCTCAACTAGCTAGATGAATCTTAAACTATTACAATCTGTATGTGCACAGAAGAAATTCTCAATCAGAAAACATAAAATAAAGAAACTGAGAAGATAAGAATGAGTAATCAAAATAATTCAATATACAGAGTTTCTTGTCACAGAAGGACAAACTTCTTTTTAAAATTCTGTGCATCAAAATGATATTACTATATTTATCTCTGATCAACATCACAGAAGAAAGCACGCCATAAATTAGACATTTAGCTCTGTTCAGTGATAATAAATAACACAGATTATGGCCAATACTACATTCATTGGAGAGTAAAGAAATCAAATAGTGTGGCAAACCCCTCGGAGAAAACTCCTAACCAAGTGCTCGTTGTGCAATTCATACATTACGAACTTTGAGTGGCAAATATCAGTTTTGTGGTGTAAAATCTAGCAAGTTTCCAAGGAACAGATTTGATTCATGAGATTTTATGAAGAATTAACAGTGATATAATACTGTGATTTGGCCTATCAACATAGATTCTTGAAACTACAGAAGCAACTTTCTATCGAGAGATACAAGTGCTTGTAGCCTAAATATCTTCATGAGATAATGTCTTATTCCCTTTCATTAACATAAATAATGATGAACTAATACCCTAATTTACGTCATTCATTACCACAATTTCAAAAATGTAAGCTAAATGCAAACACAATTAGTACAACGCAGCAAAACATGGCAAGATATGATGGCACTTAGATCCAAGGGAGGATGTGGCCCTTGATAATCCATAAATCTGACCTCTCACTGATAAT